GGAAGTTTTCTATAATTATTTCCTCTACCAAGTTCTCTATCCCTTGCTCTCTTTCCTCCCCCTCTGGCACTCCTATAATGAGAATGTTGTTTCACTTCATGTTGTCCCAAAGTTCCCTTAGACTGTCCTCATGCTTTTTAAGTGTTTTTTCTTTTTGCTGCTCTGATTGTGTGATTTTCTCTACTTTGTCTTCTAAGTCACTTATTCTATCCTCTGCCTCATTGAGCCTGCTTTTAATTCCTTCCAGTGTATTCTTGATATCAGATACAGCATTCTTTATCTCTGTCTGAGTTGTATTTATGGTATGTATCTCTTTTTTCATGTTTTCACTAAGGTTCTCGATCTTATCATCTATAGTCTGCTTAAGTTCCTTGAACATCTTCATCATCCATACTCTAAACTCCATTTCTGATAACTTGCTTAACTCCATCTCATCCATGTCTTTTTCTGGAAATGTTTCCTTTTCTTTACTTTGGGGTTTGTTTCTTGTCTCCCCATTTTGGTAGGTCTTAGTGTTTGTATCTATATATTAGATATATTTGCTGTGTCCCACTCTTGTGGGATGGGATTTTGTCTTGTGGGTCCAGTGGAGCCCAGAGGTGTATATTGTTGTTAATATTGGTGAAAATTTAGAAAATAATAATAAACTAAAATGTAAAAAATAGAGAAGCTACTGGGAGATAACAGAAGCAGAGAAAAGATTCTGAAAGAAGGGCCAGCACAAAATTAAGGGAGAGAATAGGAATAGGATAATAGTTGAAAATGAGAAAACAAAAATACAATAAAGAGAATAAGAAACTAACAATTGAACAAGAATACAGAAGGGGGCAAAATGAAAGAATGAAAGAAAAGTAGAGAAAGAGAGAAGAAAGAAGAAGAAAGTTATGCCAATGGATTGAGAGGAGAGAGAGAGATAAAGCCCAGTCAGGCAGGGAGTCTGGCAAGAGATTTGGGGGGAAACTATAGAGGAAAGCAGTAAACTTGGTTGTAATGATAAAGTCCCAGTCGTTAAGCAGGGATATCAAGAAAGTCTTGATACTAGAAGCAAGGATAAAACAAAACAAAGCAAATAACCAAAACAAAACCAAAAACAAGCTAAGCAAGACAAAATTCTTTTATAAAAAAGAGAAAAAGAAAAAAAAATTTAGTTAAAAAAATGTTTAAAAAAAATTTAAAAAGAAAAAAAATTATTATAAAATTTTTAAAAGTAGAAAAAACAAATTTTCTCCCCTTTCTAGTCTTCCTAAGGAAAAAAGAGAAAAAATAAACAAACCCACAAACAAACAAAAAAACACACCAAAAAAACCCCAAAACCAAACTAAACAAAAAAACAGCAGAAAAAAGGTAGTCAATCAGGTGAGTTTCTTCAGGGCAACTTATGTTGTCTGAGGGTCACTGTTTTTTGTGATTTCAGTTCTCCTGGGAGGTACTTGTGTATCACCCAATGTGGGGAGCCGTCTAGGTTTGTCTCTGGTGTCCTTAGGGAG